AAAAGTTGATTTGTACTCTTTTTCAGCTTTGTTTTGTGTTTTTTTCATTTTACTTGTGAGTCATAACACAATTCTTATTCTCTCTTTTGTCATTGTCGTTTGCCAGCATCTTCAGTTCAAGTTGGCAAGATACAAATTCCTAAAAACATTATTGTTCCTTATAAAGACATATTGGAATTATTTAGGAAGATACTTTGTGACTGCAATATTCAGAAAGCTTTTAGTTTGATATTGACCAAACCATATTTAGTCTGTAAACTTCTTTCTTATTTGGTATTTTGACCTTTGGAAACTGCCAATCAGATTAAATTTGCCCTAGTTAGTTACTAAAAATGAAACTCAGAGAAAATAGTAACTAAAGGGTCTACAAAGAGTTTATTTAGAAATCTTACCTTGATATTAAAGGAATTATTTTTTCTGCAAGTTTATAAATTCCTGGAAGCCTAGTAATCATGTTTATTTATTTCCACAATGCTTATATTAATGAATGTATGTTGAATAAATTAATGAAATTCCAAGGAGACATGTCTACAAATTTTTGTCTTTTTATTGTTGTTCATTTGATTCCTCGATTTAGAGATTAATTTCATAAGTTTGTGGGTGTTATAATTTCGGAAATTCCTAGTTTAGGAAGTAGATAATATTGATTTTAGATAAATTTTTATTTTTAGCAAGACCTGTCATTTATCTCTTTTCAAGGACTCTCTTCCTTTGATATTGGAGGACAGACTGTCTCTATGATTTGACTGTTACAAATTATCATTTAATTTAAGGAATATAGCCTGTTTTGCTCTAGCAAGAATTCCTATATGATAGGAAAATTAGCCAAGTACAGTTTTATATAAATGTATATAAAAGATCACTGTAATGATTGAGGTGAACTGATCTAATTGAGGTGAAACTCGATAACAGTTGGTTATTTGGATAAAGATAGTTGTAAAGCTTCAGGGAGAGTGATGAGGTTAGCCATGTGTAGGGATCAGTGGTTCCTGTCAATGGAAAGAGTAGAAACTGGTGCTCTTCTCTTTTCTTCTGAGTTGTATGTCTCTTTCCTCCTCTGTATAAGCTCTGCAAAGACAAGGGTGGCGTCTTTCACTTTGGTACACACTAAATGAATATTTGATGTACTGAATTGGTTGAGGTAGGAGAAAGAAAAGGGAGGCAGAATGCTAGAGATGCAAAAGTTAAGGTCGTATTTAGTTTAATTATAGTTCTAATTGGCCTCTACTATTGATCCTATGTGATTGAAATAGCGCTTTGAGGATCTTAAGTTTAAAATAGATTGATGTGTTTCCAGCTGTGTCTGAACTGGCTGCTCTGGTGCTCACTTGACTTTAAAAACACTTGAGGCCAGTGGAAAGTGGGGAAAAAGGAAGACAGATTTAATATATACTCCAAGAGGAGAAATTATACTATATTGAATGAATTAGGACCCCAAAAAAAGACAAAGGTTAAAAAGGATCCATGAGGCCAGCCCCATGGCCTAATGGTTAAGTTCAGCATGCTCTGCTTTGGTGGCCTGGGGTCAGTTCCCAGGCCTGGGCCTACACCACTCACTGGTGGCCACGCTGTGGCAGTGACCCACATACAAAAATAGAGGAAGATTGGCACAGATGTTAGCTCAGGGAAAATCTTCCTCAGCAAAAAAAAAATCGTTTTTGTGAAGCAAAAGAGGTGATATAATTGATATTACTGGAGAAGTTGGAAATAAAGGACTATAATGAGGCAGTAAAGTGTATGCCACATGAAGGACATAGCATGATGAAAAGGCATAGCCTTGTTAGTCAGAAAATCTGCATTCAAGTTCACACTTCCTCTAGTTACCAGTTATGACCTTTGCAACCCTCAGTTTTGCCATCTCTAAAATGGAAGAAAAATTAATCTTTTACGTACAGAGATATTGTCATGATGATTGAGTGTGATAATACATCTTCTCTTTTAGAGATTGTTTGGATGTAAGAACCTGAAATCTATGTACTAACTCAAATAAAACAGGGATATATTTTAGAGTACAGGGGAATTAATTGCTATAACTTAGAAATATTACCTATCTCATAAAAATTTTAAATTTTTAGGAGGCCAGCCCTAAGGCTGAGTGGTTATGTTTGTGTGCTCCACTTTGGTGGCCCAGGGTTTGCCGATTCAGATCCTAGGTACAGACCTACACACTGCTCCTCAGGCCATGCTGTGGTGGCACCCCACATAGAAGAACTAGAATGATCTTCAACTAGGATATACAACTATGTGCTGGGGCTTTGGGATAAACAAAAAGAGGAAGATTGGCAACAGCTGTTAGCTCAGGACTAATCTTAAAAAAAAAATTAAATTTCTACTGTGACCCTACTCTCTTCATATCTCTCTCTTTCTCCCTGGGATCTCATGGTCTATCATCAATTCATTTCTCTGAATTCCTGTGCCATTCTTTATGATATTTTTGGCCAAGAGTAACAGAAAACCTGATTACAAGAGGCTATACAACAAGAGATTCATTATCTTATGTAACAAGATATTTGGAGGTAGGACAGATCCAAGGTTGGTAATTCAACAGCTCTGCTCTGTTATCATGGACCTGGTTCTTCTCGTCTTTATACTTTTCTACCTCAGCCTGCAGGGAATGTCCTCTTAAGCTGGCCCCTTCCAGGATCCCCAGATAGATACCTCAGTCTCAGGCATCAGCTGTCTTCAAGGAGAAAAGGGATGTCTTTTCCTGTACATTTCTTTTTGAGAGCAAAGACAACTTGTTAGGTATATCCAGGCAATAATCTTATTTATAAACTACATAGCATTATACAAGTAGTTTTAAAGTTATTCATGAACTATTCAAATGGAGATATTATGAAGATGCAAAGTATGGAATCAGAAAAAAGTTTAGAAAAACTCCAAGTTTCACTCTGGGACATACTTTATTGATAGATTAGAAATTATCCATAGTCATGTATAAACTGTTTAAATTTGTAGAAATTTTATTCATTTAAAGTACCTTCCATATTAAAGTTTATTATAGTAGTTGCTATAGTGAACACTAAAATGAATAAATAATATATCTAAAAATCTCACAGAGGCAATCAAAAATATACAAAAATAAGAATGACACAAAACCAGAGGAAAGACCAAGGTCTACCTCAATATGAGGGAGGGAATTGAGGAAAAATTCATAAAGAAGTGACATTTGACCTCTACAAGTTGGGATAGAGAAAGGCTACCCACGGCAAGTGAAACAGAGTAAGCATAGACTTGCAAAAAGCAAAGTTGTAAATGCGTGCATAATGTTAGAGGATCATGAGAAGTTTCATTTTACAAGATCAACGAAAATAACAGTAACATTTAAGCTGGGTTTTGATCATGGAATGCCCTGAGGGTCAGCATAAGAAGTTTCATCTGAACAGTTGGAAGCCAGAAATCATTCATTATTTAGGGGAGACAGTAATATGTGCTTTGAGAAAAGGAATTGGTCTGCAGTATGCTGGGGAACTTGGAGCTCTAGAGACTCTCTACAATAGTCTGAACAAATCCATAATTTCAACGAGAGTTTAATGGGAGTGAAAATGAAAGCTCAAATCCATGAGAACAGCCCCAAGTTGTGAAGGTGTAAAACTTAATCACTCTGATTTAAGGAAAAGGTAACTGAGATTTTTGAACTTTAGGAATTGGAGAAAAGATAATGCCTTTACAAGAAATATGACAGGAGGAGGAGAAGTTGGTTCAGAAGATGCTATGAGTTGTTCAGATTTGAATCCAATGCATTTAGGATATCAACAGGACTTCAGTTGCAAACATTGGGGAAATTCAGGTGTGAAGTTTAAAAGAAAATGTTACTAAATTAGGAGATTCAGATATCATCATCATATTGAGAATATGTGAGAATATAAGAAGAGGATAAAAGTGAAAATCAAAACAATTCGTGAGATGAAAAGTAACAAAGACTGGTTACTTTCTCGTAATAAGATGTGTCATTGTAACAGCATCATATGATATTTACAGTTGCTGCATGAAGTTACATGTCTCATCTTAATTGATTCTCTTAGAAACATGCCCCAAAGGTGTTAGTAGAATTGTTTTATAGTTTGTGAGACTGCTATTCAAAGAGGTTAGACAACTTGCCCGAAATCAAGCAGTCGGAAATCAGAGAAATTGGAATATTTGTGCTTGTCTTTGGACTCGAAATTTCACCTTTAGTAATTTATAATGAACTAAAGTTAGTACAAAATCTTTGGATCTAAAATATCATTATTATATAAGTGAAATAAATATGCATACATATGAGATCCAATAGTAATTCTCAGGAATTCTAGATTTAATTAAATAATCTAAACGCCTTTACTGTTCTCTAGATTCTATCAAATTTTTAATCAAAGTTTGTTCATTCAGATTTTATGCAATATCAGGATAAAATGAATGTGTTGTGGTGAGAATTCAGGCAAATATGTAATCAAATTGCCATGAACTGAGGCTTAAGATGTAGTACCTGTGAATACTTGCAGTTGGCAAATTAAACCAATCAAATATTTCATGGATTTTACTAAAAATTCAAAGTTTAAAAGCCCCTCATTAGGCAAATGATGAATAAATTTTAATAAAAAACAAAAGTGTCGCTTTGCTTTCCTATTGCACTTTTCCAAAATCCCAAAGGGTTAGGAACTCAATAGTACACCTATGTTCAACATTAATTTGTTTGTAAGGACGTCTGTGCCTTCTGCTTTGCTTATTTGCATCTTAAGTTTGTGTATTTACAAAATTTGACTACTCAAGTAGCAGATGCCATTTTTAATGTTCTGCATCAATATTTTTAACCCCTTGGGTTTCTATTTTATGCCATATACTAACAAATATACATATTTATATATATATATGTATATATATATATACACACACACACATACATATACATGTATACGTATATACATATGTTGGAAGGATGTTTATTCCTTAAAATAAAACCTTATTTTTCCTCATTACTTACAGATAGATAGCTAGATAGCTAGATAGCTAGATAGATAAAGGCATTTGTTCCTTAAAATAAAACAGTATTTTTCTCTACCTTTCCCTTGGAGATGGCCCTTCTTTACTAAGGTCTATAGAGGGCCTTAATAGGCTGCTTTTAATAGCGGTATGTGGGCAACAGGATGGTTAATTTCACGAGTATTATTAGTTTATGAATATTCATTAAATTTGTTTTTAAGCAGCAATTCAACTTTGTAAATGGTTGCAGCCAGAAAAAGCTCTAATTAGAGGAATTAATTAGGACTTGGAAAGGTGAACAGGGATTTGTGGGCATTCAGAAGGGGTATTTTCTCAACAAGAGACAGATACCTCCCAGGGAGCTGGCAATACAGTTTGCACGTACACCAGGTGAAAGAGAACAGTGAGTTTCAAGCCTTAAGGCAGAGTGGAGGTCTGTTGTTCAAGTTAGCACAGGACATCTTGCAGATTACAGGACATCCAGGTCTTTCCTTGGTGGAATTCATCTTTTAAAAGATCTTGTTACCAACATTCAAAACTCACATTTAATCCTAGTAAAAAGTTAAACCCAGTTAAACAAGAATAATGTGACAATGGAAACTATTTTCCATAGTCGGAGTGGTGCGTCTTTCCCTCTCAGTTATCTCCATAACATGATGACGTCCCTGCCACCAGAAACCCAAAGGAAGCAGCTGCTCTGAATATGTACAAACAAAAGAAGCTGTTACTATAGCAACCATAGAACTCTGTGGAAAAGCTCTCCCTTTAGCACTAGCCAATCCCTCTCTTCACCCCTCCCTCCCATCCTTTTGTGCACCGGTACACACTGCCTTTGGACAGATATGGTGATTGTGATTTGACTGCACTGGGGCGGGGTAGGGGCTGGAGTGAACAGTTCAGTTGGCATTTACACTTTGCAAGAGCTGGAGGACTTGGTTCTGGCCAAAGCTTATGAGAAGGCTGCAGAAATTGACACTTACAGAGCATTGGATTGCTTCATTCCCTAACTTTTCTTTATTATCCTTTAAAACATACTACTGGCCTCTCATTCTCTACTTGATGAAGTAATGATGTCTATTCCATCTCTGTCTTTCATTTCAGTTTTCATCCCTAGCCCATATTCATGCCCATGAGCCAAATGCGGCATGGCTGAATGGAATCTGTGGACTGCTGATTCCACAGTTGCTAATGAATTGGATGAAAGATAGAACTGTTTTGACTTCAGAGGTAAATGGGTGGTGTTAGATGTTAAAGGTTGTTGTTGTGTTTTTCCAAATGGTAGAAAATATAGTCATAGTTTAGCAAAATTAAAGCCAGCTTCAGAAACCCTGTCCTAAATAATTAAAATTCTAGTTATTTATTCTCAATTTTAATGTTCCATAAAGTTTTGTCTTGATTAATCTACCAACAATATCTTTCATTTAGTTTTATATCTCCTTTGGTAGTCAGCCTTCAATTTACTAATTGCTTGTACTCCCAAATTAGTTTGGAAATCAATAATTTAGGTACTTAAAATTAGTTTTTAAGTCAATAATTTAAAACTGGGAACATATTTTGATGTGGACACTATCTGCTAACTATCTTGCTAACACAAATCATGGCTATTTTGTTAACACAAATCTGTTTATCCCTCATGTCGCTTAGATATTTTATCTTGGCAAGGAAATGTTGTAGAATACTATTTTACTTTTAAGTGTATAGCAAGGTCCTTTATAAATAAACTCCAGATCCAAAAACACCTTGAAGTAGGCTTTCTAATGGGGCCTAACGCTGCTAAAATTTGTTCACATGAAAACTAAAATCCTGAATTTAAAAAGTGTTGAAGAGGAAATTCTCTTATCAGTTATTACAACATATTTTAAAACTTTATAAGTAAAGCTATAAAAACAGGTCAATGGGACAAGATGCAAAACTCACAAGACCCAATTATTTATGAGGTTTTAATATATGATGAAAGCACCTTTCCAAGTGTTTGGGAAAAGGATGGATTCATTAACAAATGGTGTGGGCACAATTTTAGTAGCCATCGGGGAAAAAAAGTGGGTGTACATCTTAAATCTTACATCATAATAAATTCTGAAGTGGACAATTGTTAAATGTAAAGCAATGAAACTGCAATCATAGTGAAGACCATGGGAGAAAGACATTCAGAACCTGAAAAACTACTTTTTGCCTATCAAGTTGAAAAAAAGAATCATCTATTTGTATATGGTGTTGAGAAGGGTGTGGAGAACAAACACTCTCATCCATTGCTGGCGGGAATGTAAATTGGTAAAACTTTTATGAAGGACAATTCAAGTATAGCTTTTGAAATTTCAAATATACATATCCTTGAATTGAGTAATTTCACTTCTAGAAATGTACCTGCAGGTACAATTAGACACACTAGGAATGGCAGGATTGCATGTTTATTCATTGTGGTAAAAATTAGAAATTCTGTTTATGCCTGTGAATATAATATGGGTTAAATAAATTCTTTTACAGCCATACGATAAGAGGCAGCCATCAGAGAAAGAGAGAGAGAGAAGATCTTTTAAACTCTTTATAATCTGATAGGAATAATCTCAAAGATCAAATGTTAAATTTTTGAAAAGCAAAGTGAAGAACTTATGTATAGAGTATTATACCTTTTGTGCAAAAATAAAAATGACATCTGCATGTGCGTATGTGTGTGTGCATGCAATTTGCTTAGAACCGCTCTGAAAGGACACACGCACGCAAAGACACTAGAAACATCAAAAGTTTCTAGAGAGGTAGCCGGGTATTTGGGTAACCTAGGTGGGAGGGAGACTTCATTTTATACCTTCTGTACCTTTTGAATTTTTTAGTGTTACCGATTCAAAAATAAATTTATGTAAAATTGTCTAAAAACTATTGCTTTCTAATCTTCTTGCTCAGATGTTGGGCAGACAACTGAAAGGAGACAGCTGTGAGAGTGACCAAAATTAAAGCCCATGATGAGACTTCTCTCCTTCCTCTTCAACTATTCTTTGGCTGACATATCCCTCTTGCTACCTTCCCATTGTTTCCGCTGTCCTATTGATCTTGGAAACAAAGGCAGGGAAGGAATAACATTGGTTAAGGATGAAAATCATTTCCAGATTTCCTCAAGATAATTTGAGACCACCCTAGGTCAGAGAACAGTTTTGTATAATCTTGAGGGACTGTCCCTGCAGATGGATTTGTAACAATATGTATTTCTTATTCATTCCTGAGTGGAAAGATGTGAAATTTGTTAATGGCTACACACATGTAAGTAGGCATTGATGTGTTCACCTGAAGCTCACCCATCACTTTTGAGGCATGTCTGGTGTAAGCCAAGTATCATCTAGTACACCTATGTATTTAGTAGTAACTCAACAAATATTAATTGATATTAAGGATCATAAATAAACTCAGTGTGCAGCCAGCTTGACTCAGATCTATATAAACAGACTGGTTATCATTTTAAGGGCCTTTTCCCTGGAAAAACATTTAATTAAACTTTTTAAGAGTTACTAGATACAGGATCAACTGTAATGTATCATTATGTGTCATGAAACTTTTGTTAGTGCTTTTTAGAAAGAACTCTACTTTTGGTAACTATTTTCTTCAGATGAGATTAATATGCACAGTTAACCAGGTTATATTTTAAAAATCAATAAAAATTCTGTAATATCATAGACATGAAAAAGAACAAAGCCAACTAAAATATATAGATAGAAGCCCAGCTTAAAAAGAGATCTCTGCTGGCCAAGCTTTTTTGTTTCATTTTTGAGGAACTCACTGATTTTCTGATCAATTTGGAACTTGGACTTATGAAAAAATATTTTGACAACAAAGAGATACTAGACAGATTTGAAAAGTTCACAAAAGGGATTCCATTTCCATGTTCTTGACCTTCCTTTTGCTAATAATCAGGACTTTCACAAATTCACAAGCCCTTTCTTCTACTTAGATTTTTGTTTTATTTACTTTTACATAAACTTTCGTTCCATGTTAAGGTACATGTGCAAAGTGTGAGCAACATTGGCTAGCGTTGGAAGTGGACTATTCCAGTAAGTAAGGGGCACAGGTGATTTCAAGCCTTCTGGCCTTTTGTGTCGCACACACACATAAATATGCACACACACACACAAATACTTTAAAAAGAAAGAGAAAGAATATAGGAAAGAAAATGACATGTTAAGATTTTTTTAAATAGTGGAGAAAGAGAGGAAAAGAGAATGAAAAGCAGAACATTTAATGTAAAAGAAAAAATGCAGAATTTTGGCATCAGGGTGAAGATAAGTGAAATTCATTCATTTTGTTATATTTTTCATTATATATTCATTTTTCATTATATGTTGGACCAGCTCCACAAAAGACAGTAAGATGACCACTCCTCATTCATACTAAACACACTCTCTATTATATTCAGTGAACATTTTCCTTATCTTTAGAAACACCTACTGTTAGGAGAACAGTGTGGTGTCAACAAAGTAGGCTATATTGCCTCAAACTCCTATGAAGATGATCCTCAAACACATAGCAAAGACCTACCATATATTGGAAACTCCACAGAATGGGAAATATTGAAATTATCAAGAAGAATTCTAACAGGGTGAGGTTCAAGGTGTGCATGCTCAGTGTTGACAATCTTAGTTCTCATTCTTAAACATAAAGTCAGAAGTGAGCTGATAGTTATTTAAATATTTACATAGATAAAAAGACATGTGTGTACATATTTTTTGGACTTGTACACATACCAGGATTCAAGTATCATATATTAAAGGAGTTTTGACATTTATATCTTCTATTCATTTTCCTCTCCCTGCACCCTGAATTCAGGTCTGTTCAGGCTTTCTTTCTTTTCTTACACCTTGCCCTCCTAAGGGTAAGTTTATTGTTGAATGTTGGCATCAGGAGCAGACTCAGACTGGTCTTCTATTTTCTGCTCACCTGTCTTCTTGTTCCTCCTTCCATATCCCTTTCCTACACACATCAAACAAAATCTGTAAAGTCAGTGTAAATATTCATGTCAGTATCATGACATTTTAATATATGCTTAATTTCTTTTTAAGTCTCTATTTGATGTTTATATGGCTATATATGTCTAACAATTTAAAAATATAACTGCCTTAAAAATTATGTTAGCTAACCAAAATTTGTTGGCTAGGCTTTCTTTACTATTTAACGTAAATTTATTTTTGTTGGAGTAGACTTATATATGATCCTTCATAACATGCTAAAATATCATGAATTTAGGAAAATAAATGTAAACTTGAAACTGCATCTGCTTAGAGATATTTGTGTTTACATCTGGTAAGTGCTTTTAATTTTTGGAAAATAATTCATAAATTGATTTTTCTGGCATCTATATCCAAGCCTACATTGTTTATCCTCTGTCAATTTTGTTCTAGCTCTTGTACTTGTGGTAATTTGTAGAGGGAAAGATTATTTATGCCTGGGCATAATCCAAGTGAAACAATTAGTCTATTTTGTCCATTGTTTTGAAAAAGCATTTATATATCATTTTGCATTTTTAGTAGTTTCTAATGATACCTTAGAATAATCTTGCTGGTTTATACCAGATTTTATCAACTTTATCAACATTTAGATAATTGGGGAAGAAAGTACAAAGTCCTGTCTAATTAGAAAATATTATAAAGGAAGCTACATGGAGAAAAATATTCCCTTGGAAAGGATTTCCTTCTTAATATTTATATAAAATATTGCTACCTTGTACCTTGAATTTTTATGGACACACGAGCCATGAAATCAAAGCATCACTGGTTCTTATAGATGTTGATATTTTTCTTTTATAGAATGAAACTTTCCAAGACATCACACTAACTGTAAATTTTCCGGTTTCTGACTTACAGTTCTCTGACTTGAGATTTACATGAAACCTTAGGGAATTTTATAGTCATAGTAATACATTATTGGAGAATATTGACCCATTCCTGATGTGGAAAATATGACAAAGGAAACAGCAAATATTTGGAAAGAAAATAGTAGAAAGAAAGTTTACAAACACTGTTTACTGGTATAAAATCTTACCTTCAGGCAGAGAAACTTCACACACCCACACACACACTTCACACACGCTCTCTCATGTGCACACACACACCGCTAAGCCCTAAGGCATCTTTATTATGCTTTCCTTGATCCACTATCATACTTGTCACATTGTTTACACATCTGTCTGATTAAAGACAAAAAAGCTAAATTTTATCCGCAGAGGCTGTTGTAGTAGTTGGCACTCAGTAGGTACTGAATAAATATCTAATGGATGAAGGAACCAAGAAGCACAAGTCATGTAAAACACTTGTGCTACAAATGCTTTCTTTCCAGATCAATTTTCCCCAAGTTAATCAACCTAACTCAGGAAAAATTACCAGCCCTCCAACGTACCCTGGTCCTTTGTTTCTTCAACCCAATTCCTAATACCTCCTTTCTTTCTTTTGTCTAATTCAGTCCAACATTTACTGCCTCTGGAGACATCCAGCTCTGACCACCCTATTTCCTACCAATTTACCGGCAGAAATAGAAAGAAGCATACTGTGTAGCTTTCAGTGAGTAATTTGCAGTTTTAGGTAATAAAAATCAACAGTGTATGGATGCTATTTGCAATGAACAAACAATATCTACTTGGCCTATCGTAAATGGGAAACAAAATGGCATAGTGGTAATTGATATAAGAATGAATATAGATCAAAGACTTTTTCTTTAAAATGCTGACCAGTTGGTAATTTAAAAAGTGACTTGGAAATAATACTTTTAGTGTTTATTGAGTACTCGGAATGGTGCTTAGCGAACTATGGTCACTGTCTTAAAGGAGTGTACATTCATTCTCTTATGAAAGTCAATTTGTATTTGTATAATTCAGACAAAGTTATACAAGCTTAAAGAAATGTATCAATTGGAGGAGATCTTGGGACATGGTTCCTGAACTACTCTTAAAAGAGTGGGTAAAAAAATGGAAAGAAGAAAAATCCGTAGTAGCAGTGAAGGATCTTATCGTCTCTTTTCTATTCATCATATAATAAAATGGTTTCAAGGTGTCATAAGGAATCTGTTATTTTAATGGCTGTATATCTTTCTTTCCTCTCAGTCAAGTTAAAAACACTGCTTACATAATAGTTTCTTAAATACATAGAATATATTGACAACTTATTCTGGATAAAATGCAGTTTAAGATCTAAAGAAGACAGAGGGATGCAGAAAGAAAGGGAGTCTAGCCGCCCTTGGGACCTAGAGAGATCAACAATGGATAACGACTTCCCAAATCCTCTACAACACTGAGGGACTCACCTTTACTGTGCTTCCTTTCCTTGGAGTATCAGCACCCAACCTAAACTAGCTTATGGAGAGAGTTGAGACTTAGGAGAACGAGAGATGCTGTTGAAATTAAAGGAATGTTTAAACATTCCAACTGTTGGAAGGACAGAAGCTGTAGCACTGATACAGCCATATCTCAGAAGCAACTGAAACCACAGACTCAAATACCACCTGACACACTTGTCTAATTCCTGTGTGATGTGCATTACATTCTCACACAGGTTTTCTCCAACTGGTAGAGGGGAATGTACTGTTAAAAGTTGCCAGGTTTGGGCTGGCCTGGTGGCGCAGCAGTTAAGTGTGCACATTCTGCTTCAGCAGCCTGGAGTTTGCCAGTTTGGATCCCGAGTGCTGACATGGCACTGCTTGGCAAGCCATGCTGTGGTAGGCGTCCCACATATAGAGCAGAGGAAGATGGGCATGGATGTTAGCTCAGGGCCAGTCTTCCTCAGCAAAAAGAGGAGGATTGGCAGCAGTTAGCTCAGGGCTAATTTTCCTCAAAAGAAAAAAAAGTTGCCAGATTAGGGCGCCTACCCTGTGGCATAGTGGTTAAATTTGGTGTGCTCCACTTCAGCAGCCTGGAGTTCGTGGGTTCAGATCCCTGGCATGGACCTACACCACTTGCTACTCATTCTGTGGCGGCTGCCCACATCAAAAGTGGAGGAAGAGGCACAGATGTTAGCTCAGGGTGAGTCTTCCTCAGCAAAAAAAAAAAAAAAAAAAATTTGCCAGATTAATCTGATGTAGTCCTATTTGTCTATTTTTTCTTTTGTTTCCCTTGCCTGAGTAGACATGGTATTCAAAAAGATATTGCCAAGACCCATGTTGAAGAGTGCACCACCTATATTTTCTTCTAAAGTTTCTGCAAAGCAAAGAAAACCACCAACAAAATGAAAATACCACCCACAAGCTGGGAGAAAGTATTTACAAATCATATATCTGACAAGGGATTAATTTCCAAAATATATAAAGAACTCATATAACTCAACAACAAAAATATGAACAACTCGATTGGAAAAGGGACACAGGATGTGAACAGACATTTTTCCAAAGAAGATATACAGATGGCCAACAGGCACATGAAAAGATGTTCAACATCACTAATTATTGAGGAAATGCAAATCAAAACTATAGTGAGATATCGCATCACACCCGTCAGCTTGGCTATAATTAACAAGACAAGAAATAACAAATGTTGGAGAGAACGTGGAGACAAGGGAACCCTCATACACCACTGGTGGGAATGCAAACTGGTGCAGCCACTGTGGAAAACAGTATGGAGATTTCTCAAAAAACTGAAAATAGAAATACTGTATGATCCAGCTATTCCACTTCTGGGTATTTACCCAAAGAATATGAAGTCAACAATTCAAAAAGACTTATGCACCCTCATGTTCCTCACAGCCTCATTCACAACAGCAAAAATGTGGAAGCAACTCAAGTGCCGACCAATGGATGAATGGATAAAGAAGATGTGGTGTATATATACACAATGGAATACTACTCAGCTATAAAAAAGATGAGATCTTGCCATTTGTGACAGCATGAATGGACATTGAGGGCATTATGCTAAGCAAAATAAGTCAGACAGAGAAAGACAAATACCATGTGATTTTACTCATATGTGGAAGGTAAACACGTAGATAAGGAGAAAATATCAGTGATTACCAGAGGAAAAAAGGGGTGGAGGCAGGCAGCAAGGCGTGAAGGGGCACATGTTTATGGTGATGCATAAAAACTAAACTATTCGTGATGAACATGACAAAATCTATGCAGAAACTGAAATATAATAATGTACACATGAAAGTTACACAATGTTAAAAGTCAATATGACATCAAAAAATAAAAAAAAGAGGGAGAGAATTATATATTTGCTGAAATACATACAAAATATCTTAGGAAGGATGGACATTAAACTCATGATAGGGCTGTATTGGGGAGAGAAACCAGATAGCTAGAAGGAGGTTTTCTCCCTGTACATTCTCATAGCTTTAGCATTGGTGCCATGGGAATACACATCATCATAAATAAATGAACGCATTTTTCAATAAAATAAATATTTTTTTAAAAAGTTGCCACATTAAAATCAGACTTCCTGACTTCAAGGGCCAATCACTCATTTGCACTAAGACTTGGGTAACAATTCTAATCTATAATTTCCTCACCTGTAAAATGTTGTGACTAATGATAGCATTGTTGTAAAACGTTTAAAGTGCTTAGCAGAATGTCTGAACCCAACAAATATCAACTGTTGTTTTTGCTGTTGTTGAAACAGATATTTTGGCTTTGGGCTCTCACTTCTCACAGTGCTGTTGCTTGAGACAGACAGTTTCTCTTCCCCAGGTTCTGATTTCAAACAACTTGAGAAAGTCACCAATTATCCTAGGTGTGGTCATGTGTTCAGACTATAAGGATACGGGGACTATGGAACTACAAAGCTGAAGTCAGAATGGGGAATGGGGGCATTTCAAGAGGAAGAGAGAGAAAGGATGCTGAGCAGAGCAAGCAATAGATGCTCTCCACAGATATCACCGATATCTGTCCTCTGCCTACACTAAATCTCCCTTCATAAGCTTGCTTGAGTGGGTCTAATCACATCTCTGATATAGATATTGATACAATTATAGGTATAAATGTAGAGGAAGATAAATGTCCACATAGATTAGATAAGTATTATATGGCCAAAAGATAATTGTCAGTTTTTATAGAATAGCAAAAACAAACAGTTTTGCTGTAATATGTCAATCTGATTCTTACACAGAGAAACTTTTAGAAGGCATTCATAAACTTAGAAATCCCTGCCAAGCAACTAGAATGATATATTAATTATAATTAGCTGCTATTCTACATGTAAATAATGTATTGTTCATAATTGAAAGAATAATGGTCTGTGCTGATCTCTCTAAGGAAGTTTTATTAGCATGCATATCTAGAGATATTTTAAGTGTGCGGTTCAAAAAGATCATATTTATGCATTCAATAAAATATATATTTAAAAGGGAAATCCTTGTTGAGCAGATGCTGCAATGAAATAAATGCAATGAAATAAAATATTGTAGCTGAGCTTATTTGTATGCATATCAGACACTTAACATTTCTGGTGTAATTAGGTTTTAAAGACAAATGATTCACTGCTTTTGATCACATTAAGAATACCAGGCATATGATTCAGAAGATACCATTTAGGGGACTAACAGAGGATGGTTAATTAAAATCACTTAGCCACAAATCAAAATGTATATATTTTGGTTTTTTTACTGAGGTCACAATAGTTTATAACGTGTGAAATTTCAGTTGTTCACTATTATTTGTCCGTCACCATATATACATGCCCCTTTACCCCTTTACCCCACCCCCCAACTCCTTTCCACTCTGGTAACCCCTAGTGTTTTCTTTGTCCACGTTTGTTTATCTTCCACATATGAGTGAAATCATACAGTGTTTGTTTTTTCTGTCTCACTTGTTTCGCTTAACATAATACCCTTACCACCCATCCATTTTGTTACAAATGGGAGGATTTTGTCTTTTTTTGTGACTGAGCAGTATTCCATTGTATATATATATATATATACACCACATCTTTCTTTATCCATTCATCAGTTGATGGGCACTTGGGTTGCTTCCATGTCTTGGCTATTGTGAGTAATGCTGCAATGAATATGGGGGGCGTAAATCTCTTTGCATTGTTGATTTCAAGTTCTTTGGATAAATACCCACTAGTAAGGTAGCTGGATCATATGGTATTTCTATTTTGAATTTTTTATACTGTTTTCCATAATGGCTTCACCAGTTTACTTTCCCACAGGCAGTGTATGAGGTTTCCCTTTTCTCCACATCCTCTCCAATATTTGTTATCTTTTGTCTTGGTGATTATAGCCATTGTAACAGGTGTGAGGTGATATCTCAGTGTAGTGTTGATTTGCATTTCACTGATGATTAGTGTTGTTGAACATATTTTCATGTGCCTATTGGCCATCTGCTTTGGAAAAATGTCTGTTCCTATCCTCTGCCCATTTTTTGATTGGGTTGTTTTGTTGTTGTTGTTGTTGTTGAATTGTGTGAGTTCTTCATATATTTTGGAAATTAACCCTTTGTTTGATATGTGATTTGTACATATATTCTCCCAGTTGGTGGATTGTCTTTTTGTTTTATTCTTGGTTTCCTTTGCCTTGCAGAAGCTCTTTAGTCTGACAAAATCCCATTTGTTGTTTTTTTCTTTTCTTTCCCTTGCCCGAGTGGACATGGTATTCGAAAAGATCCTTCTAAGACCTATGTTGAAGAGTGTACTGCCTATATTTTCTTCTAGGAGTTCCATGGTTTCACATCTTACATTCAAGTCTTTAATAATTTTGAGTTAATTTTTGTATGGAGAAAGATAATGGTCTACCTTCATTCTTTTGCTTGTGGCTGTCCAGTTTTCCCAACACCATTTACTCAAGAGGCTTTCCTTTCTCCACTGTACGTTCTTAGCTCCTTTGTCAAAGATTAGCTGTCCATAGATGTGTTGTTTTATTTCTGGGCTCTCAATTCTGTTACCTTGGTCTGTGTGTCTGTTTTTGTGCCAGTACCATGCTGTTTTGATTCCTACGGCTTTGTAGTATATTTTGAAGTCCAGGATTGTGATGCTTCCAGCTTTGTTCTTTTTTCTCAGGATAGTTTTACCCATTTGGGGTCTTTTGTTGCCCCATATGCATTTTAAGATTCTTTGTTCTATATCCATGAAGAAGGTCATTGGGATTCTGATTGGGATTGCATTGAATCTGTAGATTGCTTTAGGTAGTATGGACATTTTAACTCTGGTTATTCTTCCAATCCATGAGCACAGAATATCTTTCCATTTCCTTATGTCATCATCAATTTCTTTTGATAGTATCTTATAGTTTTCATTCTATAGGTCTTTCACCTCCTTGATTAAATTTATTCCTATATATTTTATTCTTCTTGTTCCAATTGTAAATGAGATTGTATTCCTGAGTTCTCCTTCTGTTAGTTCATTATTAGAGTATAGAAAGCCAGCTGATTTTTGTAAGTTGATTTTGTACCTTGAGACTTTGCTATAGTTGTTGATTATTTCTAACAACTTTCAGATGGATTCTTCAGGGTTTTATATATATAAAGTCATGTCATCTGCAAATAGCAAGATTTTCACTTCTTCATTGCCAATTTGGCACCTTTTATTTGTTTTTCTTGCCTAATTGCTATGGCCAAAACCTCCAGTACTTTATGTTGAATAAGAGTGGTGAGAGTGGGCACCCTTGTCTTGTCCCTGTTTTCAGAGGGATGGCTTTCAGTTTTCCCCATTGAGTATGATGTTGGCTGTGTGTTTGTCATATAT